TACCAAGTCATAGTACATTCGTTTTAATATATGGAGGGATACAGTATTCCTTATATTTCTAATTACATAACAACGATTACTTAGTGTCGAGGTTACTTTATATATGTGATCTTCCGAACTTAGCTTTGGATCTAGCGTCAGTCCTAAAAATTTTATTACTTCATCATTTTGAATGGACTTGTGATCAATATATAGATAAGGATTATAGTCAGGGGCTATATTCTTTGGATGGTTTGGTACATAAAACTGGTTTTGTTATATTAATTTAAGGCCGTTGTCTTTGCAATACTTACTAAATTCCTGAGATGCTGTATTGACCTTGCTAACAAGCTTATCAAACTAATGATGTAATATAATGAAGTTTGTATCATCTGCATGTTATCTGCATGTAATTTAATTAGAAGTAGTGAAAACTTGATTGATATCGTTGATAAAAACAATAAAGTAGAGAAGACCAAAAACCGAACCTTGTGGTACTCTCACAAAAGATGTTATTGGGTCGGATAGTGTACCATCTAATATTATTGTTTGCAAAGGATTTAACAAATATGATCCTACCTAGTCATGTGGTATACTTCGAAGTCATGTGCCTTTCAGCTTCATCAGAAGCAGCCTGTGATCCACCATGTCAAAAACACAACTGAGATCCTAAAAAAAGACCCAACGTGTTCTGTTTTTCATTAAGAGCTTCATAGATACAATTAAGACAGTCATCAACTGCACTTACAATAGATTTGCTTTCTCTGAACCCATTTTGGATATCTAGCAGTAAATGAAATGCTTCTATATAGCTTGTTATAGGCCATTTCCATCATATTGATAGCACATTATGTATGCAAATCCCTAAACTGTTGATACGGATGACTCAATGAAAAATAGATATTTGTCAACAAGTTTACAGAAGTATATAGGAAAACAATTTTAAATTGAATATGATCACCAGGTATAAAGGTGAAAGCAGAATATAATATAGAATATAGAATACAATAGTTTTGTGGGTTACTAATCCCTAAATAAAGTTGCCAGTGTCGGAGTGATGGAGATTAACAGGTACTAATGAATTTGCAAGAAATGTAAGATGTTTATTTTATTGGTTATATATAAAATAATTTGTGGCCGTAACATGGGCCGATTTGTAAAAATATTAATATTGTTTTAATCAAATTCCATTTCAAATTCACTGCTTTCTTCTGAATCTAAGGAATCTTCAACTCCAATGTTAATTATTACCGGTTCCAGCATTGCATCAGTCTTCCAGTTCTTCCTTGTGAGCATGACTAACAGCATTTTTCCAATTTTCTGGAGTTACTTTTGATAAGGAATGTTCTAATAATTGTTGTAAGTCTTCTAATTTAAAAGTTTTGTTGTTGCGTCCAACTTCACCCGTTAATTGAGACCATTTATTTTCTATCGGATTCAGATCACAGTGGTATGGGGATAAACATAAAAAAATAACATCACGGTTTAATTCCATTTCATCAATTATATATTTTTTTATAAGCTGCTTTATGTTGCCTTACAATAGGTAATAATTCCTTTTTTTGTAGAATTCTCCTTGTACTCTATTGCGTGTTTATTCAACCATTCGATTATCTCTCCTTTTTTACAGTCTTGAATGGTAACTAGCATTATCCATGACTATGACAGAATTTTTTGGAATTAAATCCAACATGTGCTCAAAATATTCTTCAAAAACGTCAGCAGTCATTTCCTCGTGGTAATCTTTGGTTGATTTTGTGGCAAAACTTAATAATCCACCAATGACAAAACCGTATTCGTTTCCAACATAAGTTATTATGAGTCTGCGTCTGCGTTACTTGAAAATAGGCTGTATTATTATTTACAAAACAACGAAACTTACCTTGAACATTTACTTAATTGACATTTTTAACAAATTTGTGGTTCAACAAAACAATCATTAAATTTTCGATTTAATCAAAAGTTGCACAATTATCGCTTCACCCTGTATAACTATTATTTCTACTATTGGATAGAATTTTTAATATATATATATATATAAATATATATATATATATATATATATATATATATATATATATATATATTATATATATATAAGTTATGATTTTTGAGGATGCAGTCAGTTTATTTGGCCCACAAGACAAAGAAAACTCTTTGACTTACTGTCAAGCTTTCGAAATTTATTTAATTCTTTTTTAAGACATCTATAAAAAGAAATATAAATTAACTAGTTAAAATTGTTAATTGTCTTACTTACTAGTCGTGAGATTACAGTTATTAATATTGTACTGTGTAAATATGTAATACTGTGTAATGTGTAAATAGAAGATCAGATATTGATAAATCAAGTAAAATTTATTGTTACATATTAACATATCAATAAATACCGTCAAAATCTCATTTTCTATTGACATCCTAACATTAAAAATTCATATGTGCTTAAGCCAAACTGCTGACTGGATTAATTTATATTTTTTATAGACAATTAAATAAATTATAATAAAAACTATTGTTACTGGTTTTGCTTTCCACATAAAATAACTGTATTTTCATTCATATTATGTCCATTAATCAAACCATGACAATGACATATGTAGTGACAATATAGTTATTTTTAATAAAAAAATTTTAATATATTTATAATGGTTTGTCTTGTAGAGTACAATAATAATAACTGTAATCTCACGACTAGTAAGTAAGACAATTAACAATTTTAACTAGTTGATTTATATTTCTTTTTATAGATGTCTTGAAAAAGAATTAAATAAAATTCGAAAGCTTGACAGTAAGTCAAAGAGTTTTCTTTGTCTTGTGGGCCAAATAAACTGACTGCATCCTCAAAAATCATAACTTATATTTAAATCAACAGTCAATAATACCACCATCTTATATATATATATATATATATATATATATATATATATATAATATATATATATATATAATATATATATATATATATATATATATATATATATATATATATATATATATATATATAGGATTTTTATCGCGTTTCTCAAAGAATTAGTTTGTAAGTACTTTTTTAAATTATCTTTATTATAATTATTTTAATACACACATATATATCTAATATAGACAATATAAATTTAGAACAACCTATCTTAAATTGATATTCTTATAATAATTAAATTATATTAACAAAATTTGGTACCTTTCTGTCATTGAATGCCTAAATGAAACTGTTTTTCAAAATAAAGGGAAATCACCACTCAACATCTTCGTTTTTAGCCTCAATTATCCTTGTCTTTGTGAAATTACTTTTTCCAAATACACCACAATATTTTAATTATCAGGTTCCACCAATTTAAAATATTTTTCTTCTTAATAGCATTTATGTTTATTCTTCTTTTTAATATACCAATCTAGAATCACCAACTATTATAATTTTATTTTCTTCTAATCTCCAATCACCATATACATACTGTACTATATAATTAATACTCTAATACTAATAACTGTATACTATATACTATGAACTGCTTGTACTGACCGACTGACTGACTAACTTCTTAATGAATTTACTAACTAACTTTCATAATTTACTCTCTTACTGTCCAACTCCAACTGTCATACTAACTGTCTCTATTCTCCAAACCACCGAGTATTTTATATCTTTTCAGTGTTCAAGAATATTCTTGAAACAAATCATGTTCGAAATTGTTTCCTTTCATAGATGTATGAATGTTCTCGAATAATATACCTCGCAAATAGGGTTAACTTCCTTATATTGACGTTTTCTAGAGAATTGTTTACCCTTTTATTAGAAATTTTATGGACATTTAGGCTTTCAGATCAGAATATAAACTTATATATAAAGTAAATATCTTAAATTAATCAATAACACTATTTTACATCCGGAATTATTATTCAAATGTCATTCGGTTCAAATTCACTATTCTGTCATTGAAATACAGTGTATATTTGGTTACCTATGCACATGGTGCGCTTAAATATCGTCGGCGTCAGTGCCAAACCTCGTATGTGCATGTTGCGAGATTTTTCAGGAAATGAAAAAAACTCTTTATCTTTTTTATTTTTATCAAAATTAAGATCATTTTGCCGAAATGTGTTAAAAAGTACTATACTCTTATTATATTTAGAAGCGATATTAAGAAGATTATAACACTATTACATCTTTTAATTAGAAATAAAAAAATACGAGGTATGGTTTCTTAGTTTTGACGGTATACGGAGATACGTGGTACTAACTTTGATTATATTAATCAAAAGTTTAAAATGGATAAATAAATCAATATCATTTGCATTTTATAGAAAATTAAAATTTATTTACATAACTATTACAATCTACGTTTGTATCAAAAATATTCAAATAAAACGTAAACAAAAAATTATCTAATTAGGATTTCAGTGCTTATTACTGTTACTACTGATAATATGACAAGTTGTCGTAAAAAGCATGGTAATCACTCGCTAGAACACGCTTTAATTCCTGTAGGTCTTGGTATTTCTCCTTTTTAATTTTTCTACTTTCTGAATAGAGAAAATTCGGCAAATCTTTCTGAATTTTGCCCATTCTTTTAGGCAGCAATTGCCACTCTTCAGAAATTTGTAACTTATAGAATATTTGTCCTTGTGGTGTATATTTTAGGGCCCCAATATCGGTAACCACTTTGTCGCCAGACTTACAACCTGGCCGAATGCTCGAGACTGAATTTAGTGTAGAGTACTCCCTAAAGAACCTGTGATCTACGTATTTCACTTTATATGGTCGTGGGTTTTTTCGTGCAGTTTTTGCTATAAAAACGTAATCAGCAGGAACGTTGATAACTCTGTTTTTCAATTTTGATTCTATTTTACTATGGCATGAGTCACAAGGCATTTGCGTGTGTCCTTTCTCCAAAATCTTTTGAATTATGGTAATGTTATTTAAGACTGCAGTTTGTAAAAGTGCATTACTTAAGACAGCATTTCGGTTTTGGTAGGTACAACCATCACTCCAGAGTATAACTTCGTCAACTTCCGCAGAATTTAAATTATTTAGGTATAAAGTCGACAATACACGAAGAAAATTCATTTGATGTGATGGCTCCTTCGCCCTCATGCCAAATGTAGCAAGTTGTATCATAGTTAGCATTATTGTACATGGTGAAATTATGTACTATTAATTTTGTCTTGTAGTAAAGCGCGGACGCCTGCAGGCGTGGACTCAGAAGTACTCCTTGAAGATCCATTGTGATTACCACATACCTGCTATTATTTTTTGCCTTTTCGATATCTGACTGCATTGCTTCTCGTGCTTGTTGTTTTCTGTTTCTATGCTGCGCCCATATTTCTTCTTCTAAATTACCATTTTCATACATTACACAGATATCACACTGGTCTTTTTTTGGCTTAAATAGACCAAGTTTCATGCTCTTAAAAGAAGTTTTAAACTGAGTTAGAGATAAAGCCTCCTCTGACCTTTCAGAACAGTGTTCAACATACAAATTATAAACCTCAGCCTGTGATGAAAAGAGTGGTTCGAGGTACAGTTTACTGGAAGACGCTCTGCAATAATGAGATGGCACTTTGGGTAGACTTTGCAAGAAATAGTCTAAGACTTTTTGTTGATCTTTTTTACCCGGGAGGGATTTTTTAGCTTTGTTCGACTTAGACAAATGCATTCCATCCGTAGCGCTGATTGCCCAATCTCTACTTGACCACTCGCCTATATTTAAAGTATTGTGAAACATTTTCTTGCAGACACGGAATTTAATGTTTCCTTTCTTCAGATGGTAGGTTAATGAATGTTTTCGCTTTGAATTTGGAGCGGTAGTTTTCTTTCTGATGAGAACAGAAACGTCAATTAACGAGGCAACGTAAACTCTTCGTTGGCCCCAGTCTAAGTGATCCCAGAATGTGTCAAAAATTTCTTTACGACAATCCTCTGTAAATTCTTTGCTGTTATTTAGCCGCACGGAACATTCACAAGCCGGTCCTAATTTCCTCGGGGACTTTTCCGCAGCATATTCTCTTTTATTCACAACTTTCCTGCCGGTGTACGCTTTACCTTTCTCTCTTTGTCTCATTGCTTTAATTTTTTTCCATGTTTCCAAGTTTGGACCACTTGAGCTACGGCACCGTTTCGTCAAAACCACCGTACCATTGTCGTCATCTAAAAAAAAGTTCATTGTATTTAAGCTATCGTTTCTAGCTAATACTAATTCTACAAAGCTAATATTGTATAAACAAAAAAATACCTAAATCTTCTCTCCTATCATCTGGACTAACTTCTTCTACATCATTGAAGTTCGGATCTTTGGTTTGGGTATTTTGATTTTCTTGGACTATACTAGCTCCTTCCAGAGCATCAGTATTATTTTGTATGGTGACAGCTTCTGTAGTAATGTTCTCAATTGTCTGTATTACAATACCTTCTTTTTCGGCCCAACTATTAGTGTGGACGACAGTAACTCCTTCTCTATCATTGCCCTGATTTATTTGTATTAAAATAATATCTGCATCTCCAATATCGGGGTTTGGTATATAACCTACTTCATCAATTTGTACTTCTCTCGCATTAGGTAATGTAACATTTTCTTCAAAACCATGGGCGTTGTCTTTGTTTAAATTCGAAAATTCAGTTATCATGTTATTACTAGAAACTATAATTCCTAAAATAAAATGAGATATTAGAATTATATTTCTTACGCCAATTGGATTTATTTCCTATAATAACTGATCTTTTCTCAATTAATGACGTACCTTCATATTTTTTTGTTAATTCATTTTCATAAACATCATGTTTACTTTGATTCCCTGAAATCTGAAGCGTTTCAAGTGTTTGGTTCCTATTCGAAACAGGTTGTTCATTGCAAAGGACATTAGTTGTTTCTAAAAATATAATTTATTTTGATACTTAAATAGCTGCTAAACAGACATTAATATAATTGTTAATATCATAAAAGTCAAAACTGTACCTGCTGAATAACGAGAACAATCATCCAAATCATTTTTCTTTGTACATAGATCTACCATGAATTTACCACGATACATCTTATCAAGTTATTTACTAAAATCTCTTATAATAATATCAATATAATTAATACTTTATAAGGAAATAAATGCTACGAAATACACACACATAAACAAGTAACACAAATAATAACCAATGTAACCTAACTTTTTACTCGTAAGTTCCCTCATTCGCCCACCTAATGAGAAATCTGACAAACCATACCTTGTATCTACCGATATGGCGCGGAACTGCCAATTATACGAGGTTTGGATTGTCATCAAATTCTTTCGATCTGTACAAGGTCTGGTTATTCGTTATTATACAAACTTTCTACGATAATTTTATTACGAGGTTCTGTCTTACGATAAAAGTCGACGAGAGGAATGGGAATAACACAAAAAGTGGATTTCGCCAAAAAGTGTAGATACGAGGTTTGGCTCTGACGACGACGATATATATATATATATATATATATATATATATATATATAATTATAATGATTTAAATAAAACTTTTTACACTTATTACTATGCTAATTTCTTCAAAATACCCGCATATAAATATTTTTTATAATATCCTCTAGTCTCTAACTTAATTACAATATGAGAACCACACAATCATGGAAACGATGTTAATTGTTACCTTAAAAAGATATGTAGCAGTCAATGTTAATAACAAATATGTGAATGAAACTAAGTAAATGGACATAGTACGCTGATCTTGTATAAACAGTTAAGCAACTAACAACATATATGAACTTGTACAAAAATTAGCACAGCAATTGACCATGTGGTCCAAAATAAATTCAATGTTATTTATGTTAATAAGTGAGAAAGAACCAAGAAAATCATAAATAACCTCCAACTATTTAATGGATATTAAACTTTGATTTTAACTTTAGGTAGCATTATAAGTAATATTAATAAAATTCTACAAAATAGTGAATATGAAGTTACCGATCAAAGCCTTTGGATGTCGCCGTGAAAATGGCGTTAGATGAAACAGGAACGAACTAAACCGCAAAAAGACAGCCAACCTTGAGGTCAAAATTACTTTTGACAGATCAACAAGGTGTAAATACCAACCCAGAATTTTGGGCGGTTAATTTAATTTTTTCTTTTATAACTGAGTCTGGATGACTACCAGGTTGTAAAGGACACAACAGTGAAAAAAGTTGGTAGTGTAAACACAACTCCCCTCACTAACCGGCCCAAATTTACAAACCGGAGATTTTCATTCAAACTCATAATAATGTAATGACGTTAATCATGTGGCAAGTTAAATAGCCAGGCGGTTAACGATATTATAATTTCCAAACAGCCCAAGGTTCAATATACTTGGAGCTGTGATTTGTAAAGGATTCTATGAATCAATTACAATGTTTGTATTATTTTATATATAATTTGAAACTCTAATCAAAGAATTTAGTGTAATGAAATGCAATATGGGTTGCATATGTAATAGTAAAATTAAGTAAAGAAATTAAGTTATTTAATTGATATATTTATTTATTTTATTTCTATTTATGTATGTAAATTGTTTTATGAAAAGTGGAAAAAAGTTCAACTAGTACACCTAATATGACATTAATGTAGTGAAAAGATTAAGTAGCCTAATTCTGCAAAATTAAAGCATGATATATCTGGCTCAAGTTACTTATGTCAGTTCTCTTATTCAATGCATTAGGATGTTTTAATATTGAACACATTTCCAAAAACTGTCTTTTAGCTAGATTGCGTTCAGTGGCAAGAATCTTAACTTCATTAAAATCCACTTCATGTTTTGTATTTATCGCATGTTGTGCTAGAGCACAAGTGTGTTTCGATAAGTTAATGTCGCTACGATGTGAAGTGAGACGACCTTTCAATGATCTACCAGATTGCCCAATGTAACAAAGATCGCAATTAGCGCATGGAATTTTATAAATTGTGTTCACTTGTTCCAAAGTGGACAAGGGTGTTTTAGTTTTAGAGAACAAATTTCTAACAGTTTTTGCATTCTTAACAGCAATTTTAACAGGTATATTATTTTGTTTATACAATTTAATAAGCTTCTCAGTAACTTGAGGGAAATATGGTAAGGACGAGTAATGCGTGATAGTATTCTCAAGATCGGTATTATGCAGAACAGTGCTATTTATAGAATTATTAGAGATGTTTATAAGTTGGTCACCATCGGGTATGTCATAAATTGAGGATCCATAACTATGCGAATAAAGGTATTTATTGATGATAGAGGAAGGATATGAATTCTCTATTAGAATATTTCTCAATAACTTAAAGGATTCCCTTCGATTAATTGGATGTGTCAATTTATTTAATCTAAAGCTTAAAGCTTTTATAAGGTTTAGTTTGTATTTCATAGGATGACAGGAATGGTAGTTAAGGAACCTATTAGAGGCCATTGATTTTCTATACCAACTTGTGGTTAGGGTGTTATCTCCCATTCTGATGACACGCATGTCAAGGAAGGGTATACTATTGGTGGTAGTGTCCTCAAGTTCAACAGTGAACTGTAAATGAGGATCAAACTCATTAAAGTGGGATAGGGTACCCTGAACCTTGTCAGGTGGTAGGGCTAGGATGATTTATTATTAGCCCTACCACCTGACAAGGTTCAGGGTACCCTATCCCACTTTAATGAGTTTGATCCTCATTTACAGTTCACTGTTGAACTTGAGGACACTACCACCAATAGTATACCCTTCCTTGACATGCGTGTCATCAGAATGGGAGATAACACCCTAACCACAAGTTGGTATAGAAAATCAATGGCCTCTAATAGGTTCCTTAACTACCATTCCTGTCATCCTATGAAATACAAACTAAACCTTATAAAAGCTTTAAGCTTTAGATTAAATAAATTGACACATCCAATTAATCGAAGGGAATCCTTTAAGTTATTGAGAAATATTCTAATAGAGAATTCATATCCTTCCTCTATCATCAATAAATACCTTTATTCGCATAGTTATGGATCCTCAATTTATGACATACCCGATGGTGACCAACTTATAAACATCTCTAATAATTCTATAAATAGCACTGTTCTGCATAATACCGATCTTGAGAATACTATCACGCATTACTCGTCCTTACCATATTTCCCTCAAGTTACTGAGAAGCTTATTAAATTGTATAAACAAAATAATATACCTGTTAAAATTGCTGTTAAGAATGCAAAAACTGTTAGAAATTTGTTCTCTAAAACTAAAACACCCTTGTCCACTTTGGAACAAGTGAACACAATTTATAAAATTCCATGCGCTAATTGCGATCTTTGTTACATTGGGCAATCTGGTAGATCATTGAAAGGTCGTCTCACTTCACATCGTAGCGACATTAACTTATCGAAACACACTTGTGCTCTAGCACAACATGCGATAAATACAAAACATGAAGTGGATTTTAATGAAGTTAAGATTCTTGCCACTGAACGCAATCTAGCTAAAAGACAGTTTTTGGAAATGTGTTCAATATTAAAACATCCTAATGCATTGAATAAGAGAACTGACATAAGTAACTTGAGCCAGATATATCATGCTTTAATTTTGCAGAATTAGGCTACTTAATCTTTTCACTACATTAATGTCATATTAGGTGTACTAGTTGAACTTTTTTCCACTTTTCATAAAACAATTTACATACATAAATAGAAATAAAATAAATAAATATATCAATTAAATAACTTAATTTCTTTACTTAATTTTACTATTACATATGCAACCCATATTGCATTTCATTACACTAAATTCTTTGATTAGAGTTTCAAATTATATATAAAATAATACAAACATTGTAATTGATTCATAGAATCCTTTACAAATCACAGCTCCAAGTATATTGAACCTTGGGCTGTTTGGAAATTATAATATCGTTAACCGCCTGGCTATTTAACTTGCCACATGATTAACGTCATTACATTATTATGAGTTTGAATGAAAATCTCCGGTTTGTAAATTTGGGCCGGTTAGTGAGGGGAGTTGTGTTTACACTACCAACTTTTTTCACTGTTGTGTCCTTTACAACCTGGTAGTCATCCAGACTCAGTTATAAAAGAAAAAATTAAATTAACCGCCCAAAATTCTGGGTTGGTATTTACACCTTGTTGATCTGTCAAAAGTAATTTTGACCTCAAGGTTGGCTGTCTTTTTGCGGTTTAGTTCGTTCCTGTTTCATCTAACGCCATTTTCACGGCGACATCCATAAGGCTTTGATCGGTAACTTCATATTCACTATTTTGTAGAATTTTATTAATATTACTTATAATGCTACCTAAAGTTAAAATCAAAGTTTAATATCCATTAAATAGTTGGAGGTTATTTATGATTTTCTTGGTTCTTTCTCATTTATTAACATAAATAACATTGAATTTATTTTGGACCACATGGTCAATTGCTGTGCTAATTTTTGTACAAGTTCATATATGTTGTTAGTTGCTTAACTGTTTATACAAGATCAGCGTACTATGTCCATTTACTTAGTTTCATTCACATATTTGTTATTAACATTGACTGCTACATATCTTTTTAAGGTAACAATTAACATCGTTTCCATGATTGTGTGGTTCTCATATTGTAATAATTTTTTAGATGAACTGATGATGCTTTCAAAACTCGAAAGCGAAACGTCTTCAAAATAGATAAAGTAGCCTATCAACTTTGTCTTTTATTTCTCCACCTAGAGACCGATATAAGAACCCACCACTCGTCTGAGTGATCCTTATATATATATTGGATTGACGGTCGTACTCCTTTTTCCGATATATATATATATATATATATATATATATATATATATATATATATATATATATATATATATATATATATATATAGCCGTTTTTAAGTATATTGTATTATATTTAAATTGTATATATAATACAACTACTGATACATATTTACTCATAAACGAAAATTTCATATTTCCATACAGAAACATATTAAACAGCAAACGTGACAGTTGCTCGTCTGAAATTCTGCAAAGATATTATCAGGCTCTTTTTAATTAATACGCCTTGATTCCCAACCACATAATCG